TTATAGTTCAAGACTTAATTCACTATTGACTTTGGATTAAAAATTGTTGACTTATTAAGTAAAGATTCAACGTTTAAATACCTTTATTATACATAATAATCCATCTTTGCCCAAAAGAAAGCTTTATTTTTTATTAAAATAGTGGGGGAATTGTTGGAACTTAAATATTTTAATAAAAAATAAAATAATATATTTTATAAATTGAATTTATTGTCCTATTAAGGACTTGGTCAAATTAGCTGTTGTAGGTTAATTACCCTACTTAAGGGCACATTATTACATAATAATTGCCCAATTTATTCCTATCATTAACCTACAAATAGGAGTTACAATACCATGAGTCCTATAAATAGGATATGTCATTTTGCTAAAAAAAATGATGTTCCTCCACATTCTCCTATCTTTCTTACCTTCCTTTATCCTCTAAATGTTCTTGGGCAAAGAAGAGTGTTTTGAATAAGGTGACTCTATGGGTAGTGCAGATCCATAGAATGTTATTATAAAGTTGTAGTATCTTGGGGGCGAAATGCCATGTACATCTCTGCTCATCGATTGACCTACTCTCCGTAGAGGTGTGAATCGCCTTAAAGTAAGTAAGTTCTTCACGCCTATTTTAATGATATTTTATTATCAATATTTCTGATAAATTCACTAATAATTATTTTATTTGATCTTGTGACCGAGAGACAACAATGACATGATATGAAAATGGAGGAGAGTGTTCGAGGAACAACACTCCTTGTTGTCACATTTGTCTCGAGTGCGATGGTGAAGAAGGTGTTTTCTTTTGCCCCTTCGTTTTATGCAATTCTATGATTTCTATTTTTCAATTTTTAGAATTAGTCATGACATTGTGCTTAATTTCTATTTTTCTTCCTTTTCTTTAAAAGCCAGGAAATTATACCCTTTTAAACTCAAAGGCATATGCGGAAAACCAAAATGCTTATACCCATTTCAGGCTGAAGCTCCACAGGCATCTAGATACTAAAAATGGCAGGGTAGCTCTTG